ATATTTAGTTGTAGGAGTGTAAAGTGAGGAAGTTACAATAATAATCCGAAAACTATTGCCCCGTGGAAGGAGCTGGTTGCTTTTATATTGGCGGTCACGAGCCGGAAGATGTCGTCACCCTCCTACACCCTCAGTCTTATCCTACACCTCTCAGTCTTATCCTACACCCTCAGTCTTATCCTACACCCTCGGTCTTATCCTACACCCTCAGTCTTATCCTACACCACTCAGTCTTATCCTGCACCCTCAGTTTTATCCTACACCCCCAGTCTTATCCTACACCCTCAGTCTTGTCCTACACTCAGTCTTACCCTCACCTCAGTCTTATCCACCACCTCAGTCTTATCCTACACCCTCAGTCTTATCCTACACCCTCATTCTTACCCTACACCCTCAGTCTTATCCTACACCCTCAGTCTTATCCTACACCCTCAGTCTTATCCTATACCCTCAGTCTTATCCTACACCCTCAGTCTTATCCCACCCTCAGTCTTCCCCTACACCTCAGTCTTGCTCCTACACCTCAGTCTTGTCCTATACCCTCAGTCTTACCTCCTCAGTCTTGTCCTACCTCAGTCTTGCCCTACCTCAGTCTTGTCCTGCACCCTCAGTCTTGCCCTACACCCTCGGTCTTGCCTACACCCCTCAGTCTTATCCTGTCCTCATTCTTGTCCTACACCCCAGTCTTATCCTGCACCTCATTCTTGCCCCTACACCCTCAGTCTTATACACACCCCCAGTCTTATCCTACACCTCAGTCTTATCCTACACCCTGGTCTTCATCCTCCAGTCTTGTCCTGCACCCCCAGTCTTGTCCCTGCACCCTCAGTCTTATCCTCACCTCAGTCTTCCTACATCCTCATTCTTATCCCTGCCTCAGTCTTCCTCCTGCACCCTCAGTCTTATCCTCACACCTCATTCTTACTACACCCTCGGTCTTATCCTGCACCCTCAGTCTTATCCTACACCTCAGTCTTGTCCTACACCCCTCAGTCTTGTCTCACCCTCAGTCTTCATCCTGCCTCAGTCTTGTCCCCTGCACCCTCAGTCTTATCCTACCTCGGTCTTGTCTTCACCTCGATGCCTCCTACACCTCAGTCTTGTCCTGCACCTCAGTCTTATCCCTGCACCTCAGTGTATCCTGCACCTCAGTCTTGTCCACCCACCCTCAGTCCTTGTCTCCCACCTCCTTGCCTCCCTACACCCTCAGTCTTATCCTACACCCTCAGTCTTATCCTACACCCTCAGTCTTATCCTACACCCTCAGTCTTATCCTACACCCTCAGTCTTATCCTACATGCCCTCTGCCACTTATTCTGCTTTTATCTCGCTTAAAACTTCGTCAGTGCCACGCTCCCTCCCTTCAGTGCCACGCTCCCAGGGGTGAGGAGCGTGGCGGGCTGCTCCTCCACCTCACGATATATCCAATAACTGGCCGATGGAAACTTGGTGTCTATTGGATGAGGTCGAGTCCCTTCCTGCTCTCTCTCTCTCTCTCTCTCTCTCTCTCTCTCTCTCTCTCTCTCTCTCTCTCTCTCTCTCTCTCTCTCTCTCTCTCTCTCTTTCCACTTCTCCCAGTTATTTTATCTCTATCTACTCCTCTCTCCGTCTCCCTCCATTTTCTTTTCTCTTTTTTTTTAATCCTCTCTCTCTCCTTCCAATGTTTCTCTTCACCTAAGTCTCCTCCCATCTTCTCTATCTTCTCTTTCTTTCCTCCTTCCTTCTCTTCTTTCCTCTTTACTCCCCATGTCTCTTCCCTGTTCTCTTCTTCTCTCACTTCTGTCATTGCTCTGTCATCCCTGCCTCCCTTCTCCCCCCCTCTCTCACTTCCCCTCTCTCACTTGCCTTCCCTCTCTCTCTTGCCACCTCCCCTCTCCTCACTCTGCCTCCCCCTCTCCCATTTGCCTCCTCTCTCACTTGTCCTCCCTCTCTCTCCGCCATCCTTCCTCTCTGTCCACTTAACCTCCCCCTCCTCTCACCCCCCTTCCCCATCTCTCCACTTGCCCCTTGCCTTCTCTCCTTGTTCACCACCCTTCTCTCCTTGCCCCCTTCCCTTCTCCCACTTGTCCTGTCCTTTGTTCTAGTTCTGCCTCTACTCCCACGTCTCTCCTTACCCTTTATCTTCTCTCTAATTCTTCCTCTCTTCCCCCCTCTTTCTTTCTTGTCTCTTCTTCCCCTCATTCTATCTCCCCTACCCCTCTGTTCTCCCCTTTACCTCTGCCTCTCTCCCTCTCCTCTACCCACCTCCCTCTCCCCCCCCCTCTCTCCTCTTGCACATTCCATTCTTTCATCTTCCTGTTCACCTCTTTATTGACATTTATGCCCCTTTCCCTCCTTCATTTTCTTTCCTACTCACTCTCTCTCTCTCTTTTTTATGCTTTGAGATTATTCTCGTATTTATGCTTTATTCTCCTCTCTCTCTCTCTCTCTCTCTCTCTCTCTCTCTCTCTCTCTCTCTCTCTCTCTCTCTCTCTCTCTCTCTCTCTCTCGCTGTTTATTCTGTCCCATCTCAACATCCATTTTCCTTATCCCTTCCTTTATTCGTCCGTTATTCCGTCTTTCTCATCTCCTTCATTCTTCCATTTCCTGCCCATCCCATCTGCTTCTGGATAATGGAACACCACAAAAACAGACACCAGGGTAAATAAAGTTGGAAGTGGGGCTGAAGCAGAGAGGAAGTGGGGGGCTTAGCGGAGATGAAGTAGGGGTGAAGCGGAGAGGAAGTGGGGGGATGAAGTGGGGGTGGAGGGGAAGTGGGTGTGAAGCGGAGAGGAAGTGGGTGTGAAGCGGAGAGGAAATGGGGAGTGAAGTTACCAAAATAATAATCACTTGTCCATACGAATCCTTTTAAAATTGGAAAGTTCACATAATTATACCACAAAATAACACTTTCTTATTGTCAATATTATAACAGATAAAGCTCACACTTAACAGGTTCTGAAACAGTTGTAAATTATTCTCACCACAGGAAGGAGGGGTGGGGGGGGAGGGCGGGCGAGGGGAATGAGCCTAGTCTGTTTCCTTAGATTCCCGTTCTAAAATTTGGTCAAAATGTGTAAAAAAATGCCACTCACTCCCTCCAAACATATTTAGGGGCGAGTCCAGAATAGTGTAGTGCCTCTCCTCCTACCTTAGAACCTTCCCTTCATTGGTTGTTCTCAGATTACTATGGTTCTTATTGGTTAGTGTTCGCTCCACCCCTGCCAAACATATTCACGCTGGGACCTAGCATTTGGTATGTGTGTTTCTCATTCGTCCATTAAACTGTGACAGGTGAAACAAGCTACAGTATTCTAGTCCCCCTGGGCAGGTAGACAGTGGTGAGGCGATGGACTCTTTTTTAGACATTGGACCGACACACACCTACGGCTAGTATTGATGAAGTGGAAAGGATTAGGGGTGAAGCGGAGATGAAGTGAGGGTGAAGCAGAGTAAGGAAGAGGGCATGAAGCGTAGAAGAACTGGTGTGATCTCAACATCCATTTTCCTTATCCCTTCCTTTATTCGTCCGTTATTCCGTCTTTCTCATCTCCTTCATTCTTCCATTTCCTGCCCATCCCATCTGCTTCTGGATAATGGAACACCACAAAAACAGACACCAGGGTAAATAAAGTTGGAAGTGGGGCTGAAGCAGAGAGGAAGTGGGGGGCTTAGCGGAGATGAAGTAGGGGTGAAGCGGAGAGGAAGTGGGGGGATGAAGTGGGGGTGGAGGGGAAGTGGGTGTGAAGCGGAGAGGAAGTGGGTGTGAAGCGGAGAGGAAATGGGGAGTGAAGTTACCAAAATAATAATCACTTGTCCATACGAATCCTTTTAAAATTGGAAAGTTCACATAATTATACCACAAAATAACACTTTCTTATTGTCAATATTATAACAGATAAAGCTCACACTTAACAGGTTCTGAAACAGTTGTAAATTATTCTCACCACAGGAAGGAGGGGTGGGGGGGGAGGGCGGGCGAGGGGAATGAGCCTAGTCTGTTTCCTTAGATTCCCGTTCTAAAATTTGGTCAAAATGTGTAAAAAAATGCCACTCACTCCCTCCAAACATATTTAGGGGCGAGTCCAGAATAGTGTAGTGCCTCTCCTCCTACCTTAGAACCTTCCCTTCATTGGTTGTTCTCAGATTACTATGGTTCTTATTGGTTAGTGTTCGCTCCACCCCTGCCAAACATATTCACGCTGGGACCTAGCATTTGGTATGTGTGTTTCTCATTCGTCCATTAAACTGTGACAGGTGAAACAAGCTACAGTATTCTAGTCCCCCTGGGCAGGTAGACAGTGGTGAGGCGATGGACTCTTTTTTAGACATTGGACCGACACACACCTACGGCTAGTATTGATGAAGTGGAAAGGATTAGGGGTGAAGCGGAGATGAAGTGAGGGTGAAGCAGAGTAAGGAAGAGGGCATGAAGCGTAGAAGAACTGGTGTGAAACGAGGAGGGTACAAGAAGGGATGAGACGGAGACACAAGAAGAGGGAATGAAACGGAGACGATCGGAGTTGGAGTGAGTTAAAGTCAGTTATTAGAGTTGGGATGAAGTCCTGACACGAGCCACAAACTTAAGACGCCATAAAACGACACGAGGAAACGACGAGGCACTGTGACCCGAAGGAGCCACCACTCTTAGCACTCTGGTGGTATTTATGATGACTCCTGCCTGTGGTCTTTATGAACACCCACAGATATTTACCCTCAGGTCTTTTCTCCCCCACAGGTTAACACTACAGATAGTTAACACTACAGATAGTTAACATCACAGATACTTAACACCACAGATACTTAACACCACAGATACTTAACACCACAGATACTTAACACCACAGATACTTAACACTACAGATACTTAACACCACAGATACTTAACACCACAGATACTTAACACCACAGATACTTAACACCACAGACACTTAACACCTTATATACTTAACACCACAGGTACTTAACACCACAGATACTTAACACAGATGCTTAACTACCGTCTTCTTTTCCCCCTATAGACGCCTTATTATTGGCCCTCCCAGAACCATAGCGCCGACACCACAGACTATGCCATCTACCTGACCAAGAGGCTCTCCAGAAACAAACAGAAACACGGCCTCGAGGACTACGAGCTGGAGGCGTACAACAAGCTCAAGAAGGCGTTGTCACACAAATGGGATTTTATTACCATGCAGGCGGAGGAACAGGTGGGTTTGGCACTGTGAGTCAGGTGGGTGTGGCACTGTAGGTTAGGTGGGTGTGGCACTGTGGGTTAGGTGGGTGTGGCACTGTGAGTTTTGTGGATGTGGCACTGTGAGTTAGGTGGGTATGGCACTGAGTTAGGTGGATGTGGCACTGTGAATCAGGTGAGTGTGGTACTGTGAGTAGAGGTGGGTGTGGCACTGTGAATGAGGTGAGTGTGGCACTGAGTTAGGTGGATGTGGCACTGTGAATGAGGTGAGTGTGGTACTGTGAGTAGAGGTGGGTGTGGCACTGTGAGTCAGGTGGGTCTGGCACTCAATTAGATGGATGCGAATTTTAAACCATATTTTGATACTGCTAAGGCCTTTCAGTTACCATTTAAGGTGGTGGTTAATCAAACTAAAAACCAAGTCAGTCCCCATTTACATACCACAGCAATGAGAATTAGCCAATCATTGTGCGTGTATCCATCCACCAATCACCCTCCTCATCAACAAGTTTACTTCCAACGGCTTCAGTTCCCTAACACTTCACACTTTGCTGACACAAGTATGTAAAAACCACCCTTTCAGTAATACTCAATCGTCCACAATTTACACAATACTAGTAAACCCATTCAATTATACAACAAAATTACCACAGTTAGCCATAATGGATCGCCTGAAGAGTACACACCCTTGCTTGTTTGATTGGAAACTGAACCACCCCGATGCTACCTGATTAGGCTAGGTGGTTGATCTTTAGGTGAAATATGCAGGGGTGTCTAATCTTAAGGTGACCCGCCACTCCTATGGTGACATATGCTGTCTTGTCCAGATGCCTGTATACTCAAAGTTGGTCTGTCTTGTAGGTGAAACTGGCAAAGGACCGGAAGAAGGGCGACAAGATCGTGACAGACTCGCAGGAGAGGGCCTACTGGCGGGTGTACCGCCCTCCCCCGGGCTTCACCAACTGCCTCGAGACAGCCCCCGTCCCGGACAAAACCAACATGGCCAACAGAGTCCGCAAGAAAACCATCGACGACCTCAAGAAAGATGTGAGTGAGCCTTGTTTGTTGTTGTTGCTGTGTGTGTGTGTGTGTGTGTGTGTGTGTGTGTGTGTGTGTGTGTGTAATATGAATTAGAGAAAACTTTTACTTTATTAACATCATGAAAGAACAACTGATTTGTGAGACTGTTGTACAGCAGTAGGTTGACTGACTGTGCGGTGTACAGTATATATACAGCAGTAGGTTGACTGACTGTGCGGTGGACAGTATATATACAGCAGTAGGTTGACTGACTGTGCGGTGGACAGTATATATACATTAGTTGGTTGACTGACTGTACAGTAGCTAAAACAACTATCTGTGCAGGTGGGGGTGGATATGCTCCGGAATGGTACGTGTGACTAGTGACAGCCCTCATATACCAATATTTATCGTCCATGGTCTCATATTGTTTCCCACAAAGTATGCACAGACAGTTGTTTTAGCTACTGTACATTACGGTATATTTTACTTGATGATGAAACAGTGTAACACTAACTTAACCTAATTTAATCTAACTTAACCGAACCTAATCCCCAGGTAGCATTAGGGTATTTAATCATTGGATGAAATAAGCTGGGGCAAATCTTAAGGTGATCCGCATATTGTGTAACAGATTTAAACACAGGTTTCTCGCCTGAACAGAATGACTTCCTGGCATCAGCAGTGGACCGAACCCGGCAGAAGGTGTCGCAGGCAGCAGAGAGCCTCCTTACCCACTACGACACCTACTATGAATACGATCTCTTTCTCAACTTCCCCCAGCCTTCAAACCCCTGGCTCTCTGATGACCCAGCCTATTGGACGCTCAACGACACTATGTAAGTGTCCCTTGTTTGTAGGGTCTCATGTTACCAAGTTACTTATTACAGTATTACGTAAACAGATTTATTCATATTACAAACTTCTTTTGATGTCATAAACAGGCAGATAGACGTGCGTGTGGAGGTTCCTGGTTAAGCCATTTTGCCAAATAATGATGAGGGAGTGGGAAGTTGGGTCTGTAAGTTAGAGAGGAACCCAGTGATAAATACAACATGTGACTTTTTAATGGATTATCTTATTGTTACAAATGTTTTGGTTTGTTCATAAGTCATCTTATTTGTTGGTTTACCTACTTGTCCTCCATTGGTTCACCGAGCCGACGCTGCACAACAATTACAGTTTATGTTTGCACAAATCATAACAAATACAGGAACTGTATTATTGTAATTGCTTAGATATTTTTTTTAATGCATGCACTGGTGGTGACATTACTGCCCCATTTATAACATTGGAAAGACCTGACGCTTAATTTTGTTTCCCTATTAGCAAAATCCTCATCCTTATCTTGTTAAAGAAAACAATCTCTCTCTCTCTCTCTCTCTCTCTCTCTCTCTCTCTCTCTCTCTCTCTCTCTCTCTCTCTCTCTCTCTCTCTCTCTCCTCTCTCTCCTCTCTCTCTTTCTCTTTCTCTACCCTCTCTACTCTCTCTCTCTCTCTCTCTCTCTCTCTCAGTACATCTTCCTAACACATGTACCTTTAGACCAGTCACCTGGTCCTCAACTTATCCCAAAGAGTTAAGTGCTTCTCCCCTACTTCCCCCTAAGTGAGGTGAGTCGTCCTTTGCAGTGTGGAGATACCTACGGAGAAGCGAGTGCGCCGCTGGGGCATCACCATGGAGGAACTGATCAATGACGTCATGGGTAAGGCGCCAAAAACCCTCATCTCTTCAGGACTCGTATGTTTAGTGGTATTTTGAATGAGCAATAGGCGCCTAATCAGTGATGCTATGTAGTTATTTTTCTCTTTTAGCTGCTGAGGAGGCACTTGCCTCCGAGGGATGGCTTTGATAATATAATTCCAATGTAAACATGTGAATGTTTGTCAACACAGAATTGAGTTTCACAGAATATACCATTACCGTACAGAATTTCCATACATGTGTGTTTCAGTGTGTCCATCAGTCATTCCAGGAACATTGAACTCAATAACTAGAACAATCTGTAATGTATTTTAACCACCCTTAATATGTGAATACAGTATATTATAGCATGACCTCAGTTAAGATCAATATTAAATATACCGGTATTCAGTCATGATTGTTAAAAAATATGGCCCTTCAGTCTTAATATGGCATGGTAGAAGGTTGACATTCTTTTAGTGGCAACCTTGTTGGGATACAGATGGTGTCTACATACAGAACAGTGTTTATTTTTGTAACAAAATTATTTACAACGGACCAGTAAAATACAGATGTAAGAATGAGACAAGTCATACCTGCTCTTACAAACATGTTGTTAAACAAAACTCAGTAGTGATGAGTCGACTCAATTTTATTTTATCATACTGACAAAGTGGTCAGCAGACTAAATCACCCGCTTATAATGTTACAGCTAAATTGTTCTCTGAAAGCACAGTCAAGTTGGCCTTCAAATGTGTGTATCATGTATATCAGTACAGTCAGCTTGGTCTCAGAACTTAGAAACCAGTCAGTTTATAAATGTTCAATATAAGTGTTTTCATTTCACACAAAATATCTGTAATGTACTACCAAGAATAGAAGACAAAAAATGACAGAATCGACAAGGATACAGTAATGCATTATAGTGTAGTGCCGAACAACATACAACACTTTAGTGCTGGTATACAGTAATTGTGTAAGTAGTACTGTACATGTGTCCGCAGGTCAGACGGAGTTCACCAACTACCTTAGGAAGGAATTCAGCCATGAGAACATTCGTTTTTGGCAAGCTGTCAATGAACTCAGGTGGGGGCCAGCTGCCAGCGTGAGTGATACTGTTCACAACATATATGAGTGAGTTGCAACTCCCCTTCTTATTCACTGTACACCTACGTTGTTAGGTATGTGCCATGATTTTAAATTTCTAGATTTTGTATTCCCCTGTTTATTAATTTATACAGATGAGAAAGATGTGTATTGAATTCTCATTTAATTGCATTTATAAATTTCCTGTGAAATTTTCTGTAATATTAATTTATTGGGGGAGGGGGCCTGCAAATAAAAGGAGCATCAGTATTTTGTAAAATCCTCTTATACAATGACTCTACAGACTTGTATGTGAACAATAGCCAAATTAATATCCCCTAAGTACAAGGTAGAGGTATGGCAACCAAATGGATATAGGCGCTTGTCTTTTGTCCTGAAGGTCACTAGATCGATCCCAGGGCACCCAAACCCTGCTGTAAATGCTGAGTAAAGAGTGTGCTGTAACCCCATTTCCTCTAATGGGCTGTTAGACCCGTGGGACCCACTGTAATGAGGAACTGAATTATATTTGAGCTTGTTTAATCTAATATCATCATCTACATTATTCAATGACCATTTTATATTTATTTTACATGCATGGAGTTTTCTAATTTTGAAAATGTACTCCATATTCTTCTGAGACATTAAAACACAGAAATATGTATTCTGACATACATACATCTTGCAGTATCTACTTGTTAATGTTGTCCACCTATTACAGGGAGTTCCTCAAACCTGGGGCACCGTGTGAGATCAACATTGATGGTAAAACGATGGAGAAGACACAGCTAATGATGAAACAGCCATCACGTTACACCTACGACCTGGCCTCGGAACATGTGTACATCCTGCTGTTGAAGAAAGACTGCTACCCCAGGTTCTTGCGGTCAGAACAGTACAAGACACTTCTTGCTAATGCCATCCAACCTTCACAGAAGAAGAGGTCAGCAACAATGTTTGAAAAAGAAATTGATATACAGTAACTCAATTGCTTTTTCGGTTGCTGTTCTTTTTAAAGTTCCTTTTAATTTAATATTTTACTTATTTAAGTAAGTAAGTGATAAACTAATCTATAATTACGTGTCTCATATTTACATCCTGATTACTGTAGTGTTATGTTTTCTCTGTATTTGTTTTTTCAATGTTTAATTTGCTTCTTTAGATTTTCAGCACTTAAATCTTTAGATAAGACTAGTATGGGCATCTCCATTAGTGTTAAACAGGAAAATTTAATAACGTTGCCAGTGTTTCTATTAGTCCCCCACCCCTCTTTAGTCTCCATGTTGGGCAGTGTTTCTAGCATCTATGTCTGGCAGTAATTCACTGGCTATCAACAGACCCCTCAAACTAATCTTTAATTAGTTGATTCTTAGTGTTCAACAAGTGTTTATTTTTTGGCAAATATTTTGCTCCTTAGTTTTTTTTACTTACTTTAGTGTCTCGGCTTAATTTGCTTCATTTAATGTTCCTCCTCCAGCTACTGTTGGAGTGCACACTGCTCTTTTTCACCAACTAATGGGCTGTTTTAATGTTCTCTTTTTCACCAACTAACGGCTGAATTCTTGCTGTGTGCTTGCCCCGTCCCCCACCGACTCTGGCCATGACGTGCACCTGACCTCTTGACGTCAGGCCCAACTCCATGCTGGTTCGCCTCATGGCCCCCTCCTTGATGCTAGCCCCAGGGCCCGAGGGTCGCGCCGGTTTGCAGATGTACGTGACGCTCCCCTACCCTAACCTCAGCCACGAGTCATCCTGCTTGCTCTCTTAATCTCTCATGCCCGGCCCGCTTACCCTACATCTTCCAAGCAGCTGAGTGTGCTGTGTTACCCACCTATGGCATTCGCCTGAGTGTGAATCCTCATCGCCTATTTCAGTTGTACGTTTGCGACTATGTCCAACCCGTTGTACTTGTCAGCAATATCAGTTGATGTTAGATTTTCTGTGTGACACTTGTTAACACACATGCTGTCAACTTTAAGATTTGAGTGGAGTAGCTTCCTGCCCACGTCTTTTGCACATACATATGAGTTGATGTTCTAGCCAGTTATTTATGTATTATGCAGTTCCTACTTGTAACTCCTGATTGCTATCCTTCGTCCTATGAAAAAAATCCGTCGAAGTGTGCAATCCTTTTGCTTGTTTACTTGAGATTTCGATATTTCCCTTCGGTATCCGAAACATGAATGGATGTGTGAATGCAATTTATTCAGACATGTTAAGTTTATCCCTGAATTGTGTAAATCATTTTGTGCTTGTGACATAGCTGAAGGTGGCCAAGTTTATCTGACATGACAAACTCTTTATATTTGTTATTTTTGTATATCGAAAAAAGTGATAATATCCAATGTATGTCGTGGTTGGTCACTTGTAGTGTGTGTGCGAGCGTGCGTGTGAGAGAGAGAAGGAGAGGGGAGAGAGAGAGGCACCGCTCAGGCAAAGTTTGGCCAGGTAGTGTGCACATACTTTTGCTGGCTGACTGGTCCCAGTCCTTGACCTGGTGTTGTGGTAGTTTGTGCTCACAAGCTTTCTGCATTATTTAGGTCTAGTTGTTTGATGTATGGTTCTCTTTATTTTACCCCTGCGAAAGCATGTGTATATGGTCTTGGCTTTCATAATGGATTGTGTCAGTATCTCACATTCGTTTCAGTAGAGGACCAGTTGTGGGCATTGCTCTTTTTTAATGGCATGTGTTTAGCAAGTCCATGCTGCTTGACTCTAAACTTGACTACCTTCCCATACACATCAAAGTCTACTCAGCAAGTCAACTGGCTGCTGATAAAGTTGACAGCTTATTCATAAGGTTGACTTTATTTAGTAAAGTGCCTGCTTATTAAGTAGGCTGACAGCCTATTCATTTGACTCTCTACTCAGTAGTTGATTGCATTCTTGATAGACTAACTGCCTACTCAATATCTTAACAACCTTCTCAGTGGTATAACTGTGCCTCACCCAACAGCTGCTGCTGATTTCCTGCACGTTGCACATCATGTGCGTATAACCACCTGGACAGGTCTTGGCTACACGCATGGCCTAAACATGTGCTGTTTGTGCTTGGCCAGCTTGTACTCCTACAGTGTGACCTCATACATGAGGTACTGTACAGTTTATTAAGCTTTAGAATACAGAAAAATTAATAATATTTTTATGATACACATAACCTCATTTTACTAATGCTGTAGTACCATGACCTTGACCACTGTAATACCATGACCATGACCACTATAGTACCATGACCTTAACCACTGTAATACCATGACCTTAACCACTGTAATACCATGACCTTGAACACTATAGTACCATGACCTTGACCACTGTAATACCATGACCATGACCACTATAGTACCATGACCTTAACCACTGTAATACCATGACCATGACCACTATAGTACCATGACCTTAACCACTGTAATACCATGACCTTGACCACTATAGTACCATGACCTTAACCACTGTAATACCATGACTGTGACCACTGTAATACCATGACCTTGACCACTATAGTACCATGACCTTGACCACTGTAATACCATGAACTTGACCACTGTAATACCATGACCTTGACCACTATAGTACCGCGAGCCGCCAGCCACTATAGTACCATGACCTTAACCTGTATGCGCGGCTGTGAGCCACTGTAGCCTGCTGACGCGAAGCCACTATAGTACCATGACCTTGACCACTGTAATACCAGCAGCCTTGACCACTGTAATACCGCGAACTTGACCACGCAGCCACCATGACCTTGACCACTGTAGTACCATGACCTTGACCCTGTAATACCGACCGCGGCCACTATAGTACCGCGACTGACCACTGTAATACCGCGGCCTTGACCATAATACCGCGAACTTGACCCACTGTAATACCATGACCTTGACACTATAGTACCGCGACGCCAGCCACTGTAATACCATGAACTTGACCGCAACAATACCATGACCTTGACCACTGTAATACCACTTATTTATTTTTGTATCGCGGCCTTGACCACTGTAATACCGCTGACCTTGACCACTGTAATACCGCAGCCTTGACCACTGTAATACCACACTTGACCACTGCCAATACCATGACCTTGACCCACTGCTGTAGCCGCCATGACCCTGACCACTATAGTACCATGACCTTGACCACTGTAATACCATGACCTTGACCACTGTAATACCATGACCCTGACCACTATAGTACCATGACCTTGACCACTGTAATACCATGACCCTGACCACTATAGTACCATGACCTTAACCACTGTAATACCATGACCCTGACCACTATAGTACCATGACCTTGACCACTGTAATACCATGACCATGACCACTATAGTACCATGACCTTGACCACTGTAATACCATGACCTTGACCACTGTAATACCATGACCTTGACCACTGTAATACCATGACCTTGACCACTGTAATACCATGAACTTGACCACTGTAATATGACTTTGGTCACTATAGTACCATGACCTTGGCCACTGTAATATCATGACCTTGGCCACTGTAATACCATGACTTTGGTCATTATAATACTTTGACCACTGTTGAGTTACTGAACTATAGATACTGTATAAACATCAGTGAAGTTCGTGGCCAGGAGTGAGAAGTATTGAGACTTGGGAAAGAAGGGATGACCTGATATCAGTATCATGAGTATTGTCATGGATATATTAAATTAAAGAAATAAATTGCAGTCTCTCAATTTAAAATCGTTTAATCCTTGTCCTGAGAGCTCCACCACTTCTCTTCATTGCACAAAATATTCTTGATTCTTCTCCATTCTTTCTTATGTACAGAGTATGTTGGGATGAAACATTGAAAACTGAATTATGGTGGATTCATATCCATTATTTCTTGGGCCAGTAGGTCAGTAAGCATAAAGACATGGGCAGGCCTCCTTGTGATCAGAAATCAGCAATACATTCAGGAGCCAGTACATGCCCAGTACTTGCCAACACTGCATAACAGAGATGCGACCGACCGCCCAAGTGGCTAATGAGCTGGTCAGTGGTGAAGAAGATAAAAATAATAGTAATGGAACACTTCCAAACTGAGGGTATGCTTGAAATTCTTACCAACTGCATTTTCATCCTCTTCCTCCTCAGTCAGCCCCACCAAGTCCTCCAAAGACATTTCTTCTCCATGAGACATGGGGAGCTCCATGACATCATCATCTTGTAAATCCTCAAGCCCATTATTTTGGCTGAGTCTCACTATCCTTGCCACTTCTAATGAAGGTTTCACAAGTCCTTTGAAATATTGGGCACAATTTCATTCACAGCACTAATGATAATGTTTATTGCAATCCAGGAAAACATCTGATAACTGAGAGAATGTTTGACTTAGATGGAATGTCTTAAACATTGCTGTGACACCCGGATCCATTGGCTGAATTAAGTAAATGGTAATGGGACTGGTAGACTGGGGTCAGCTCAATTGGTTTTTTCTTGGAATGATTGACTATGCTTACTAAGACCAGGAGAGGGCAGAATCATTAAACAAAATTTCATCAGTGTTTACAAGAGAAGATGTGAACAACCTACCTGCTTTTGAGGAAAGACAGTTTGACACATCACTAGCACACACTGAGTTCTCAAAAGAGTGCATCATATCTAAATTTTCTAATCTTAAGGTTTATAATAGCCCTATCCCTAATGATGTGCATCCCAGAGTGTTTAGAAAGTTGTGCAATGAGATCAAAAAGCCCCTTAAAATCCTGTTCTGGAGAAGTGTGGATAAACGAAAGATTTGCAGTACAGTAACTGGAAAATGGCTTATTTGAGTCCTATATTCAAAATGGGAGAATGCCACCACATGAACACCTACAGGCCAGTGAGTTTGACTGGCAAAGTGTGTGTGAAATCTTAGAAAGTATTAGATGCATTGCTATGGTGGAACTTCTCCACTGGAATAATCATGTGAATGAATGCCAGCAGAGTTTTATACCCAGATGCCTATGCCTGACACAGTTGTTTAAGGTGCTGGATATGTGGACATAGGCCCTGAAGCATGATGGCAATGTCAACAATATGCATTCTTGACTTTACCAAGGCATTGATAGGGTAACCAAATTCAGAAAGGTCTTGGCGTGGACTGGAGAATTACTTTGCGACTGCAAGCAGTATGTAATGATTAATGGTATGAAATAAAGTGTACCTATAAAAAAATGGTGTACCACAGGGTAGTATGCTGGGACTTATGTTGGTTGTTTTGTTATATAAATGAAATGACAGATGAGTTTCATTCGTCCTTACACGTATTTGCAGACAACACTAAGCTATTCAGAGAAATTATGAGTCAAACGGACTATGCACCGTTACAGGAAAACCTCTATTGGCTATGTCGTACCAATAGTAGGAGGCACATCATATGTCCCATTGTGATGAAGAAACATCATCAACTGAAACCAAAGTGAAAAGGACCTGGAAGTTTATGTTGACAATGAACTGAATTTTTCAGATGTACTTAGATGGTCCATCTTCAGTAGTGTGGTGCACCCCCACTTGGAGTACTGTCATTCCATGTGGTCCCTGATATAGGCTAAAGACTGCTAGTTGATTGAGAATGTCCTAGTTGCCAAACTGGTGTGCAAGACATCAAAACAGTTCTGATCTGACTAACATTTACTGTATAGCAACAATACCTCACTAGCCAGGAATCGAACTTGGGACCTCCTCGTGGGAACATGGAGCATCACCACAGCACTAGGAGTACAAGAACTAACCTGGGCTTTGTTTTTCGTGCAGAGCCTGCTCTTTCACCTTATTTAAGCAACTTGAGCAACAGAACCACATTCGAAACTTGGGCTAACCCCAGTTGAGGTTTCTGTTGCTTAAATAAGAGGTACAGTATTGTTAATATACAGTACATGTTAATCAGTTCATAACTGTTTTGGTGTCTTGCACACCTGTTTTGCAACTGAGATCTTCAATATTAAATCAACTTTGATATGAACTAATAATTTTCTTCATAGCCACTCAGATATGTACAGGTATACTGTAAGTTGATGTTCATGCTCTTACAGTCTTCCACTCATCTCTGGTATTAGCCAGGGTTTGGTCACCTCCCCTATCCCATGTCTTCTTTTTTATGGATTATTGTACCGTCTTTTAACCACAACCAACCCCATTTATGTGTTTACTGATGACTCTACTTTTTACTCCGCTATTGGATTTGAGTCGGTCTGCTTCCTCCTAGTCACTCTCTGCAGACACCAGTACATTATTTTAATTCTGATTCCATTTTTGGGTCTGGACAATTTCGTCTTTTTCTATTAAACAAAGACAGTCTCTTTGCACCTCCTTCAAGACCAGTATAACTCTCTCTCTCTCTCTCTCTCTCTCTCTCTCTCTCTCTCTCTCTCTCTCTCTCTCTCTCTCTCTCTCTCTCTCTCTCTCTCTCTCTCTCTCTCTCTCTCTCTCTCTCTCTCTCTCTCTCTCTCTCTCTCTCTCTCTCTCTCTCTCTCTCTCTCTCTCTCTCTCTCTCTCTCTCTCTCTCTCTCTCTCTCTCTCTCTCTCTCTCTCTCTCTCTCTCTCTCTCTCTCTCTCTCTCTCTCTCTCTCTCTCTCTCTCTCTCTCTCTCTCTCTCTCTCTCTCTCTCTCTCTCTCTCTCTCTCTCTCTCTCTCTCTCTCTCTCTCTCTCTCTCTCTCTCTCTCTCTCTCTCTCTCTCTCTCTCTCTCTCTCTCTCTCTCTCTCTCTCTCTCTCTCTCTCTCTCTCTCTCTCTCTCTCTCTCTCTCTCTCTCTCTCTCTCTCTCTCTCTCTCTCTCTCTCTCTCTCTCTCTCTCTCTCTCTCTCTCTCTCTCTCTCTCTCTCTCTCTCTCTCTCTCTCTCTCTCTCTCTCTCTCTCTCTCTCTCTCTCTCTCTCTCTCTCTCTCTCTCTCTCTCTCTCTCTCTCTCTCTCTCTCTCTCTCTCTCTCTCTCTCTCTCTCTCTCTCTCTCTCTCTCTCTCTCTCTCTCTCTCTCTCTCTCTCTCTCTCTCTCTCTCTCTCTCTCTCTCTCTCTCTCTCTCTCTCTCTCTCTCTCTCTCTCTCTCTCTCTCTCTCTCTCTCTCTCTCTCTCTCTCTCTCTCTCTCTCTCTCTCTCTCTCTCTCTCTCTCTCTCTCTCTCTCTCTCTCTCTCTCTCTCTCTCTCTCTCTCTCTCTCTCTCTCTCTCTCTCTCTCTCTCTCTCTCTCTCTCTCTCTCTCTCTCTCTCTCTCTCTCTCTCTCTCTCTCTCTCTCTCTCTCTCTCTCTCTCTCTCTCTCTCTCTCTCTCTCTCTCTCTCTCTCTCTCTCTCTCTCTCTCTCTCTCTCTCTCTCTCTCTCTCTCTCTCTCTCTCTCTCTCTCTCTCTCTCTCTCTCTCTCTCTCTCTCTCTCTCTCTCTCTCTCTCTCTCTCTCTCTCTCTCTCTCTCTCTCTCTCTCTCTCTCTCTCTCTCTCTCTCTCTCTCTCTCTCTCTCTCTCTCAGAGATTGACTAACCTTCATCCATTTTGGTGGTAGGTATTTAAGTTTCTTGTGACTTGTCGTGGAGGCCCACATCATTATCCTTACCAAGGAGTCAGAATATTGTCTCCTGAAGTGTATACGGTATGTGTGTATATAATGTGTTTAGTCAATCTACTGAATAAGAAATTAATGGCCTGTATTTGTATTAGATATCCGTTTTCCTGTATCTAATAATCTGGTAGTCTCCACTGATTCAGAGAATCTTTAAAGTTTTCTGAAAGATTTTTTTTATGTATGGCGCAACACTTAATGTCAATGTGGATACAGCAGCTTCTTTGAATATGTGGGCAAGACTACAGTTTTCCAAAGGTGAATAATCACTCGATTTAAAACAAAGCAATTATGATATTAAGAGCTAAAAGTGTCTGCCTGGCATGGTAGCCCAAGACAAGAATGGAGAGAGCACGACAAAAGGACCAACAACAGCAAATGTTAACTTATTAAAACAGTGATTCTTACATCGGTGGCAGGAACATGTTAAAATTTTTAGTCATCAACAAAGAAAAATGACTAATTTCATAAAAAATAAACAAGGTTTAATTAGTTATATATACCAAGTTAGAAATTCAGTTTATTGAAAAACCAATATCAATGAGAATCCTCCCAAACATTGGACAGAAAATTCAATGATACAAAAATAAGTGTACAGGTGTTCCCCGACTTACGACGGGGTTAGGGACCAAAATCCAGGTCGTAAGTTCGAATGGTCAAGTCAGGGAGGTGGTCATCAGTAATGTGTCAGGGAGGTGGTTACTAGTAATGGGTCAGGGAGGTGGTCATCAATAATGTGTCAGGGAGGTGGTTACTAGTAATGTGTCAGGGAGGTGGTTACTAGTAATGGGTCAGGGAGGTGGTCATCAGTAATGGGTCAGGTGAGGTGGGCACTAATAATATAAAATCCCCAGACATTTAAACCAACAAATAAATGAAATATATGAGACTATTATGTTAGAATTTAGACTGAATTCCTCAGTGTAGACAAGAAGTAATACAGTCCAGCAACATGTCCATAAGTATGTGCATCCTGAACCCACCAGTAACACTGTGGTCTATTCTGTATTGTACCCTTATTGGTTTTAAAAGTTTTTCAGTTCTGCATGTAAACTACAAAGTGCATGACAGTTGGAATTCATCATTAGCAAGTGGTAAGTTTGAAATTCAATGTGAGATCCTTTCCAGTGCAACTTAGACCAGACTGCCAGTTGTTGATGGATTCTCCCTGTGCATAAAGATCGACTCATGACACCTACTGTATATGAGTCGTGTATAATATAATCACAGTTTACACCCTCATTCTAAGATATGAAAAAATATGTTTGTGTCAGCCACTGAAGGGTAACTGGCAAGTTTTGGCTCAAATATTATGAGTAAAATTAATTGAAATGCTTCTTTGTTATTGCAGTGTTAGGGGAGAAATCTTGTCAGTTGTATGATACTCTTAAGTATGAAAAGTTTGATAGAAAATCAGTATTAAATTTTTTTTAGACTATTTTTATACCTTTTCCTTGTTGATAAATGACATTATGTATCTATCAGCCGTCTTGTATAATACAAAGTTTTCCTCAATGGATATTTTCTCTTCTTTTTTTCCTGGTTCCTCTTATCCTTTTTTTCATTTTTTTCGCTAGTGAATTACACTCTCCTGCTACCCCAACAACATATTTCTCAGTCTCCTGCAGCTTCACTTCATCCCGTCATAATGTTAGACTGACACACTTTGCCATCTGCAGGTTCTTCAGTTTTGGTGGTCCAGGTAAGAAGAAGGTCTCAACCCCTGCAGCACCCAACAACATCTCACTGTCGCAGACGCCACAGCCACTGAAACGACATGGATCAGATGACCAGGCCGTGGCACTGGCTGGCTTGGCCCCCCATGGCAGCACTGGCTCTGTTGGAGAGACAGGTGGCACTGGCATTCACCAAGGAGGCCCTTCTGGCTCAACCAACAAGCTAGACTGTGACCCGCCATACAGGTGTGTTGGTGCCTTGTGGGCACTTATGTTTGTTAGTGTGTGCAGTTTGTTAATGAATGAGTATTGCCTTTTCTGTGCCTAATATTATACATCATCTAAACCCCAGTGTAATCATTTCATAGATGATGCTTCTTTTATTTTGTGTGAAGATCACTGACCAAAACAATTACACTCGGACTACTCACGTTGGGACAGGAAAAGTAAGCCAATGATCTTAAAATTCATTTGAGTTAAAAGTTTTCTCTACCCATTATTTTACCAATTCTTTAATCAAAGAAATGTCTGGCCTCTTGACCTTCGGGATGTGCCTGTTCATCTTTAATTCTACAAGTTTTTCCTTTTTTATACAAAGGAAAATTTTTCACAATCTCAAACATGGATTTTCTTAACCTTAATAAGTATCTTAACACCTTAAACAATCTTTGTCTCAATATACTGTGTCATTAGAATATTTGTGTCAATCTTTGTGTACATATGCAAATATGTGTTGGTATGTAAATGTAAATACAGTAGTTATGTTCGTGTAAAAAAATTCTGTACTTAATAGTACAGTAATCTCTCGTCAACCACAACCACAGTTTGAGTATCCATATTTTGTATTTTCTACACTTATTTTACTAACCAGTGTTAATTTTTGCCAAGGCATTTGATAGTGTACCTCACAAAAAGCTGATAATTAAACTGGAAAGGTACAGAATTTGAGGGAACATCTTGGTATGAATTGGGGAAGTTCTTTGTGACTGCAAGCAGTGTGTGGTAATTTAAGGCATGGAATCGTCATGTTTACCCGTGAAAAGCAGGATGCCTCTGGGAAATGTGCTGGGACTGTAACTGTTCATTTGTTTCATAAATGATATGCCAGATACTATTCATTCTTCCATACAATATGTTTATAGACGATGCTAAGCTATTCTGAAAAATTATGATCCTAACAGATAGTGGAGAGTTACAGAAAGATCTCTATTGCTTTCAGGAGTGGTCAAAGCAATGATTGCTGCGATTCAATGTTAGAAATGAAAGAGTTTGCACCTATAGTAGGTCCTACCAATAAAAAAAAAGTGAATCACATGTCCCAATGGCATGAGGAAACATCATTAAATAAGACAAATTGTGAAAAGGACCTGGATGTTTATGTTATCAATGAAATGAAGTTATTGGACCTTTGTGGGAAGAAGGTAAATTAGGTAAATATGTGAGTAGGCCTTATACAAAGATGATACACATACCGTACCTAGATGGTCTGTCCCTCGCAAGCCTCTTCAGTAGTGTGATGCTTCCCACTTGGAGTACTGTCATTGTGTTTGATCCCAGAGATAATTTAAAGACTGCCAATTGATTGAAAATTTCAAAAGAGGAACACCAAATTGGTGCCCGCACTTCAGCACCTAACATACCAAGAGAGGTCAGAATGCCTTCAACTGTCTAGTTTATATTATAAACTGACACGTTAATAAGCACCTCAAAGGACAATACTCAATAAAGTTTCATATCTGGAGCTAGTGGATGCCTGCCCCACTGGAGGGTCACAGCCTCAAGTTAAAGAAACCACATGTACAGAAGATTTTTCAAAGTTACTCTTTATTTCCTTTGGAGTAAGAGTTGTGAACACCATCGATGCCACCGAGTGTGAACTCATTATGGACAGACCTGACCAACACTGGCACATGCTCTTATAAATTCTAGACCCCCTGCATTCCTAGTACTTGTCAACACTGCATAACAGAACTGACAAACCATCTATAGCCAACCAGTAGTGAAGAGGATAAGCCAAGTATCCATCCAAGATTATTGCAAAAGATTTCCTCCCAAGGGCAGCAAGAATGTTTGCTGGATTAGGTCTATCAAATGGCTCAAATTGTTTGCTCCATCATGCATATATGCCTCAAATGGCCACAAAATGGTAATGATGATGAGACCCAACCCTTGCCAACCTACTGTACTTGGTTACTGAGATATTACTGTATTTTATACCTTAAATAATGATAGTCATGGCAAATACTGTATATTAGAAAAAATCTGAAGAAAATATTGGCCACCTTCCTATTTCAGAGACAAAATAAGAACTCTAATAACTTCCATGAAAAGTATTACGTTTCATCACCAACAAAAGAAAAACATTGTCAGTTGTTTACACTAGAAATTTGAGAGAAAGCACTGTATACAATGGGGCTTCTGTGTGGCTGATCTCTACTAAATAAACAATACAGTCGCCAGGGTTGAAACTAAGGTAGTCTAACCCATACTGTACTGTACTGTATTTTGAAATTTATTTCTGAAAACTTTTTGCATTGTGTTATGAGAATTTTTTTTAATTAATTGAAGTTACCTCAGTTTAATTTAAGGTTAGGTTTAGGGAATTTAATTTGATTTATAAGTCATCAATCTCCCAGATCATACCAACCTCTTAGATGAAACATTGTTTTGTCAGAGAAATAGTTATAGAACTGATTCCAGTACTAAATTTAATTCAGCTTATTTAATTTAAAACAGTCTAATATGAGGAGCTCACATTAAAGGAATGTGGAAGGTTACAGCAGCATTGAACAGCTTCTTTTCCTCGGTGTTCACAAGAGAGGATGCGATTAACCTTCCTGCGTTTGAGGACAGACGGTTCGACACAGCACTGACCCACATTGTGTTCACAGAAGAGTGTATTAGAAATAAACTGTCCAGGCTAAACGTCCATAAGAGTTCCGACCCTGACATGGTGCATCCTAGAGTGCTAAGAGAGTTGTACAACGAGCTTGTCGAGCCCATGAAGATCCTGTTTTGTAAATGCCTGGATGAACAAAAGGTCCCCAGTGAATGGAAAGTGGCTTATGTGAGTCCTATCTTCAAGAAGGGCGATCGTCACTCCACGAACAACTATAGACCGGTGAGCCTGACCAGCATAATATGTAAAGTAATTGAGAGTATTATCAGAGATGCCGCAGTGGAACATCTACTACGAAACAACCTTGCAAAGGATAGTCAACACGGTTTTATGCCGGGCGCTCCTGCTTAACACAATTGCTCAAGGTATTGGATATTTGGACCCATATTCTAGAACGGGGTGGTAATATCGACAATATTTACCTAGATTTTGCCAAGGCTTCCGACAGTGTACCCCACGAAAGGCTGAAAATCAAATTGGAAGGGTACGGAATTCGGGAAAATGTCCTAACGTGGATAGAAAACTTTCTACATGACCACAAGCAGTGTGTGGTGATTAATGGCACGAAATCATCATCCGTACCTGTCACAAGCGGGGTACCACAGGGCAGTGTATTGGACCTCTGTTGTTTGTTTGTTTCATAAATGACATGCCTGACATTGTACACTCCTCCATACAAATGTTTGCCGATGACGCCAAGTTATTTTGGGAAATCAAGAACCAAGCGGACTGTGAAGAGCTGCAGAAGGACCTCTGTGGGCTCCAAGAATGATCGAAGAAATGGCTGCTGAGATTCAATGTCATGAAGTGTAAGAGGATGCACCTGGGGCGTACCAACGGTAAGGAGGCGTATCACATGTCCCAACGGGATGAAGAAACTGCACTATTTGAGACAATGTGAGAAGGACGTAGGTGTGTATGTTGACAATGAGCTGAAGTTCTCGGGCCATTGCGAGAAGGTAAATCAGGCAAATAAATTATTGGGTCTTATAAGAAGGTCGGTCAGATATCTAGACGGTCCGTCCCTCGTAACGATCTTCAAGAGTGAAGTACTTCCCCATCTGGAGTACTGTCATCCCGTCTGGTCCCCGAGATATGCTAGGGACTGTCAGTTGGTTGAAATGTTCAAAGGAGGGCCACCAGACTGGTGCCTGCACTTCGGCACCTCAGCTACCCTGAGAGATTGGAGCGCCTGAACTTGCCTAGCTTATACTACAGACGGGCAAGGGGAAACCTAATTGAGGTGTATAAGCGTCTCAAGGGGCACTACTCAGTCGAGTGTCCTTCTTGGAGCTGGCGGACGTCTCGCCCCACAAGGCGTCACAGCTCAAGATTGAAGAAGCCGCAAGTCCAGAAAACTGTGAGGGCAAACTTTTTCGGAGTGAGGGTTGTGAACTCTTGGAACAATCTACCAGAAAGTGTTGTGACGGCACCGAGTGTGAGTTCTTTCAAGACCAGACTTGACCAACACTGGAGCAGGTTCAGGTACATTCAGGAGCCGGTGCTTGCCCAGTACTTGCCAACAGTGCGTAACAGAGACGTGACCAATCGCCCAAGCGGCTAACGAGTCGATCATTTAGTGAAGAGGATAAAAGAAAAGGAAAAGTAACAGAGACGTGACCGATCGCCCAAGCTGCTAACGAGCCGATCAGTGGTGAAGAGGTTAAAAGCTAGTGACAAATGAATATTTTTTCTCCATCAGTCAGTAACTGAGTGGTGTATAAAGGTGCTGGTGGAGCTACAGTATGTATTGTTTACGTTATTAGAGTATGGGAGGGGGCGTAGTGGATGATGTAATGTATGTATTGAGGGTGATACATTAACTTGTATACAGTGTAGCAAATTATTCTAACTATGAGTGCCGTGACTTTTCCACCATGAACTAAACAAACGAAATTATATTATATTTTCTTTAGCCTCTCTCTTACCCGCATAAACCTAAATCGTTCTCTTTACCAGTACTGTACTTTCCAGATGCTTACCTCAGTTCCTCGACAGGAAGTAACTTTTGAATTCTATTTATCTTGAATACAATGAGGCTTTGCCAATGGTTGACTTTCTTGCTGTGCTGATACAGTATTTGTAATACATATATATTAAGCAACTGAATCCATCTCTACTGTTGATCTGACTCCTTCAGTCATTCTCTCAGGAGTCAGAACTCGCTAATTCACCAGAGAGCCTGCGAAAACGGTGATGATGTCACGCATTTTACGATAATAGTACAATGCATGGAATTTATGAGTTTCTATTTCACATCAGTATCAGGCTCAGTGATATTCCATTAAATGGGTACAGTAATTATAATCTTGTGCAATTATAACTACAATCTTAATCTGTCTATTACAAACAAATTTATCAGAATTAGGAGAAAATTATGGGAACTGTTTAATTCGTTTCAATCTGAGTGTGTTGGGCTTGTTCGGGGAAGCATTGCTGCTCCTCTATAGGTTTCGTCTCTGGCGGAGTTTGGTGAAGTGCAGTATCTGGGATAGCAGCTGTGAGCATTGCTATTGTAAGAAGTCCCAGGGCAGCTGTGAGCATTGCTGTTGTGAGCAACCCCAGGGCAACTGTGAGCATTGCTGTTGTGAACAGCCCCAGAGCAGTTGTGAGCATTGCTGTTGTGAGCCTAGCAACTGTGAGCATTGTTGCTGTGAGGAGACCCAGAGTCTTTGTCTTCAAGCACCGCATGTGAGTGAATGTTGTGCTGGACTAACTTTTACACACCGGCGTTTACATATTAGTCACAAGAACTTTGAACATCAGTTGTTGGTGAAATTAAACTCCAGCAAATATGTGTGGTAAATAGTGATGTTAGTTGTGTAATATATAATATAGCCTACTGAGTGAATTGCTTTTTTCTTAAACTGATTTTTTTTGCGTAAAAAGATCTTTACCCTTGTGTTTGATAACCAATATTGTTATGGCATTCCATTACTTGGTAGACAAAATAGTACCTTGGACTAGAAGATGGCAGTTGTGTGGTTCAGAGAAGCACTGTTTTAGAGAGTGATGGGGATTTTTTTTTATGCTGTACTTTGTATTCTCAGTTCTGTGGGTGAGCTCAGAGAATATGCTCCATTTTTTCGTTTGTACTGTACCTTTAAGAAGTCATTTAAGCTTGATGTTTCATTTATTATTTCTTTCGACTGTAATAGGATTCAGAAAGTGTTATTAGATTACCAGTTCTTCATATTTGTGTTATTTTAATCAAAATGAATGTTGGAAATCAATACATAATCAATCAATATAAGTACTGTACTTTCTACTTTTAATTATTTTTCAAACATCAATAATTTTTACTTTTACTCTATACCTTTCTTAGGTTAGTACTTTTACTCGATTACAAATTATTAGTAATTTGCCCACCACTGGTCCATCGTACCTCTGTTATAGGTTGCTTGTTAGCTCACAAATTTCATGTGTTCACCAATTGTTGGTTCCAAAGGGGTGTGGATTGTTCAGCAGCTTTCGGTACAAAAAAGGAAAAGAAACATGGAGTGAACTTCCAAGTTAAATACTGTACGATTCTCTGAAAATTTTTACAGTGCTTGGAAAGGGGGTTGGTCTTGTAGGTGTGCCGTGTGGTGGTGTGTGTGCATGCGTATGTGTGTGTGTTTCAGTAAGTAAAAAGCGATTATAAATGAAACCAGTATCACTGAGCCACAAGACAGTGACAGTAAATCAGTGCTATGACGGATCACCTGCTTTAATGGGACAGGCTTTTTGTTGCTATTTTTATGTGTGCTTTGAGTCTATCATACTTAGTTAAGTGAGGAAATGAGGTTGGTGACAGAAATCGAAAGCATAAAAGGTCCTATTTGTGCTAAAAGATGAATGAATAACTTCATCTTCAGTTTTGAATCTTTTGCAATAATAAAAGAAATAAAGCCAATGGTACTTCTACCAAATTTCCTCATCTCACCAGATAGCTTTTTGCACACAGTTATCCTCTTCACACTGCTTATTATCACCAATATGCAGTGAAATTAGCTCACATTAATGCTTTCTCGTTTTGTTTTATTTTTGCAACATAATCACATTTTGTGCATTCCCAATTTTACATCACAACATTTTTCAGGGGTGATCTTCCCAGTGCGAGATATGTAGGCCAATGCAATACTGTGGGGTTAAGCTAGTAAGTGCAGTGTATGTGTTGCGTGCACCACTGTTATCTCTAGATCGTCGTTGCATATATTCTGTGGGTTGGTGTGATGTGGTGCCACCAGTGAAACCTTCACTTGTACTCACCGCTCCCTGCACCTCTGTCATTCTGGATCTAACACTTGCTTCTCCCATTCTCTTTCTCAACTACAGTCATGTTTATATGATATCTTTTGCTAAATCATTCTTTGCGTGCCAATTACTGAGCAGAACTGCTGTTGCTACTGTCTCTTCACCAAGAGTACCTTTTAGAAGCTGTTTGAGTGTTTGCGACTACCTTGTGTACCTGCTCTTGTCACTGCAATTATTACTGCTACACACTTACTCGTTCTGCTGTTTAGATCTTCTTGGACAACATTGCCTGAGCTTTGCTGATACTCCTGGTCATCTTTTTCGCTTGGTTTATCCTTGAATGTAGGGCTTACGGCACTGATCTCTTACTAAGGTATTTATTGTTAACATTGTGTGTGCTCTGTCATTTCAGTGAGCTGCTTTTCTTGTATGGTAAAAATCTTTGTTAATTATCTTCCATGCCCTGAAAAGGAGTGTTTATGTACTGCAAGAGGTGTTAATAGATTATCTTGAACGTGTAGTGCAGTGTCGTGAGCTTTTTAACTCGTGTGCACATCACCATCAGCAACAGCCCAGAGACAGCCTTATCCTCTTCTGCTCAGGCTGTCGACATGCACATCAGCACCACACACACACACACACCGCTTTTCTTCTTCTGTGACAGAAATATGTGACCTGCCTCAACATTCTTTGGTCATAATTTGTTTTAAACTTATCCAGTGATTCTGTGAACATACATGTGATTACTAAACCTTAAATGATGAGTTCAGACTAGATGTACTGTACATAGAGTAGAAGAAGCTGCAGCTGGTTGCTAATGGGGAGAATTATACAGTCCAAGTGAGAGAAGCTCAGTGTTCTCGGGTGATAGTTCAGTTCAGTTGTTGCCACAGTGGTTTTCTTTGTTCACTTTTCAGCAACAATATCCATGTTTATTAAATATGAGGATGAGATCTCATTTCATTACATATACTTCTTTTGAATGAAAGTAGCATTGAAAACATATTGATATTTGATAAGAAATGTGAGCTGTGTATGTGAAACACAGGGAGAGAATTTCAAGATAAATGATTAACATGCACATATTAGGTCAAGAATGAACAGGTGAGAGTAGGGCACAAATGTGAACACGGATGAGCAACACCTCCTGAACCACTGAACATACAAGTAACTTACAGCTTTAGCAAGTGAAGCTAAATGTTGTCAAATGCAAGTGATGAAAACAGCAGTTCAGGGGATCCTCATCCGGTATGTACAGATCCTCACTGTCTGTACGGATCCTCACACACTAAGTACAGATCCTCGCACACTAAGTACAGATCCTCACACACTAAGTACAGATCCTCACACACTAAGTACAGATCCTCGCACACTAAGTACAGAGCTTCACACACTATGTACAGAGCCTCACACACTATGTGCAGAGCCTCACATACTATGTACAGAGCTTCACACACTATGTACAGAGCTTCACACACTATGTACATAGCCTCACACACTATGTACAGAGCCTCACATACTATGTACAAATCCTCACACACTATTTACAGATCCTCACACTCTATATACAGAGCCTCACTGTATGTACAGAACCTCACATACCATGTACAGAGCCTCATACACTATGTACAGAGCCTCACACACTATGTACAGAGCCTCGCACACTATGTACAGATCCTCACACACTATGTTCAGATCCTCACACTCTATATACAGAGCCTCACTGTATGTACAGAACCTCACATACCATGTACAGAGCCTCACACACCATGTACAGAGCCTCACATACTATGTACAGAGCTTCACACACTATGTACAGAGCTTCACACACTATGTACAGAGCCTCACACACTATGTACAGAGCCTCACACACTATGTACAGAGCCTCACATACTATGTACAGATCCTCACACACTATTTACAGAACCTCACACACTATGTACAGAGCTTCACACACTATGTACAGAGCCTCACACACTATGTACAGAGCCTCACACACTATGTACAGAGCCTCACATACTATGTACAGAGCCACACGTACTATGTACAGAGCCTCACACACTATGTACAGAGCCTCACACACTATGTACAGAGCCTCACTGTCTGAACAGAACCTTACACTCTATGTACAGACCTCACACACTATGTACAGAGCCTCACACACTACAGTATGTACAAAGCTTCTCTGTCTGTACAGAACTTTACACTCTTTGTACAGAGCTTCACACACACATTATGTACAGAGCCTCACACACTATGTACAGAGCCTCACACACTATGTACAGAGCCTCACACACTATGTACAGAGCTTCACATAATATGTACAGATCCTCACATACTATTTACAGAACCTCACACACTATGTACAGATCCCCACATACTATGTACAGAGCCTCACACACTATGTACAGAGCCTTGCACACTATGTACAGAGCCTCACACACTATGTACAGAGCTTCACATAATATGTACAGATCCTCACATACTATTTACAGAACCTCACACACTATGTACAGATCCCCACATACTATGTACAGAGCCTCACACACTATGTACAGAGCTTCACACACTATGTACTGAACTTCACACACTATGTACAGAGTCTCACTGTCTGTACAGAACCTTACACTCTATGTACAGAGCCTCACACTGTACAGATCCTCACACACACTATGTACAGAGCCTCACTGTCTGTACAGAGCCTCACACACTATGTACAGATCCCCACACACTATGTACAGAGCCTCACTGTCTGTACAGAACTTTACATTCTATGTACAGAGCCTCACACACTATATACAGAGCCTCATACACTATGTATAGAGCCTCACACACTATGTACAGAGCCTCACACACTATGTACAGAACCTTACACTCTAAGTACAGAGCCTCACACAGTATGTACAGAGCCTCACTGTATGTACAGAACCTCACACACTCTGTACAGAGCTTCACACACTATGTACAGAGCCTCACACACAATGTACAGAGCTTCACACACTATGTACAGAGCCTCACACACTACGTATAGAGCCTCACACAGTGTAAAGAGCCTCACACATTATGTACAGAGCCTCACACTCTATGTACAGAGCCTCACACACTGTGAACAGAGCCTCACACACTATGTACAGATTCTCACTATATGTATACATCCTCTGTATGAATATATACTCACTATATGCATAAATCCTCTCAATGCATGTATAGATACACACAAAGTATAAATAGATCTTCAAATCTTCACAGTGTGTATAGATTTTCACGCAGTATGTATTCATCCTCACACTGTGCATTGGACGTGTTACAGGGCTGACCGTCTGGTTACTGCTACACCGAGTTCTATTATAAGTGTAGATCCTCATACTATATATACATTCTCATTGTATGTAGGATTCTCACCTTTGTAAGTATAAATTTTCATACTTGATGTATATATCTTACAACTATATGTATAGATACTCGTATGTATAGATCCTATCAATGTGTATATAGGTTCCCAAACACTTTGTATATATCTTCACAGTGTGTATATCTCCTAACCATCATTGAAGACAAAAACCATCCAGGAGGTGTCATCATAGTCCATGACAGGAAACATCAGTACAGTATAGCAGTGTACAACAGCATTAGCACCACTCTACTGAGGTTCTGTTTAACCTGAAGGGTTATGTTCACCATAATTTATACAAATTATAAAAAGGTTTTTAATTCCAAATAATTTTTCCATCCTTCCATATTTCCCTAAGCTGTGTTAATGGCATTTACACAATTTGTTCCTTATAATGAATATTGTACTACTCTCTACCTGTGACCACCATCTACCTTTTACCTCATATTCGTTATTCAAAGCTTCTGAAACATGAATTGGGTGCAACAAGTATTATATAACACCTGTTACCTATACTGTACAATTCTTCACTGTAGAATGAAATTATATATACAGTATAGTGTAAGAGGAATTTAAAGTCCAGTATTATTGTCAGCAACTAAGACACAAGCATGAGATGTTAGTGTTGAGGCAGACTCAATAGTTGAGGCCCAGCCACCAGGTACACTTGGCAGGTCTACCACTGTGGTAGTAACACACCTGGAGGGCCCAGGTAAAAGGTCCAGTACTGTGATAGTAACACACCTGGAGAGTTCAGGTAGCAGGTACACACACACACACACACACACACACACACACACACACACACACACACACACACACACACACACACACACACACACATACACATACATGTATGTCACCAGTTGGTAGTTTTATACACTCAGTATATTTACCACATGCCACTCTCTTCCTTACCTATATCAACACTAGACGGGTCGAATATGAAAAAGGATATTTTATAAAGAAGCCATTAACTGAGAAAAGAAAATGCACACTTGTACCTGTTGCTCATCAGTGGCTGCTGACCCTTCATTAATACTGTATAATATCATGTGGCCGAGCAATGTTGTTATAAGATCATCTTACTGTTGATGTGTATGGATCACTGAGTGTGATGTGTTCCTCACAAAGTAACTTGAGTCGTATAGAACAGCGTGAATCATTCCATACATTTCTATGAACACCCCCCATGAATTTAATCAATACCTGTTTAATAATATTGTTATTAGTCTGTAGCCTATAATATTTCTGTTGCAGGATCTCTGTAACAGTTAACACAAATTACTTTTAAAACAGTTGCTGCCAATCTGAGATTATCTGCCATATTTTTCACCAGGGTGATTTGAGCTGTTCTTAAACGTAGTTTTTCCAAGTACTGTAGATACAGGGTATTCCTTTTTGAGCTCTTAATATCATATGTTTGTGCAGATACTACCTCAAATAATCTTGTAAAGGCTGCCATTGCCCTTACAGCTGTACTGATAACCTCTGCAACAACTGAATAATCATACCAGCCATGTGGCCAGGTTATTCAGGTACCATCTCTTCTACACCCATGAACATAAACAACAAATTAAGGTTATGATCGCCTGTGTGGTTTAAATTATTACATACTTATTAGTTTTACTTACATGTATGGTACAATAATTAACACACGTTAATAATGTGTACAGTATAAAAATTCTTTAACCAATATCATTGTGTCGTGCTCTGGATATACTGTAGTACAGTACAGTATTGTTAAACACCTATAAACAAAGTGAAATGGCAAAACAGGTTTTATCATGATAACATCAATATCAACATAAGTTTAATATTAAGCATCTAATTGTGCAATGGAGTGGTAAACATTGCAAATATATTTATAACCACTGTACAGTACTGGGGTAAACAGTGTTGGCTATGAGAAAATGTCACTTTTGTCAGTCTTTGTGAATGAATGAAAAAATTTATGATACAGTACTTAATTTTAGATTATATACAGTACAGGTATAGGTGATAAATATCTATATAAAAGAATTAAAATACCTTTCTTACGTGACTATAAATTTCAATTAAAATAATAAATAAATATTAGAGATGTAAAAGAAGAAACAAACTCAGACTTTCTGAGCACTTACAAGAAATTTTATTAAGCTTGATTCAATAGAAAAAATCCTGAAACTAATTAAATTGTAAAACAAGAATAACAAAACAAATGCCAATATTTTTAATGTCAAGTGTTAAGTCATCACAAAATCAAAATAGTGTCCCGTACAGTAGACTTTCTGAAAAAAATTAATTTAAATTATAATTCACAGCATTAAGACACAAAGCAAAATACACCTGACCCTCGCTTTATGCCATGCGTTCTGTGACAACACAGCATAATGGGAATCCGCAGTGTGAGCTTTTTCAAGACCAGACTTGACCAACACTGGAGCAGGTTCAGATACATTCAGGACCCGGTGCATGCCCAGTACTTGCCAACAGTGCGTAACAGAGACGTGACCAATCGCCCAAGCGGCTAACGAGCCGATCAGTGGTGAAGAGGATAAAAGTAATACTTGATATTATGGGGAAGTTAGGATATGTTCCACATCTACTAAAAGTAAATAGTAATGCTATAAAAGTTGTGGAAGAATCATTACAATACTCTAGTGTGGGTTAGAAATGAGATAACATAGTATAACACTATAAAATATAATATAAAACTATAAACTAAGACATATGGGAGCATGGGTGTTTGTGTGGAAAGTGAAAGTGTGTGGAGTAGCTGACACACCACTCCAGCCGCGTCTCGTGACATCACATCCAGCACAGTAGACACACACACACACACACACACTGAGCCACGTTTCACAACTATTTCTGGAGCATTAATACTCTAAAATTTGTAGAACTATCATTAAAATACTCGAATGAGTCATATCTTCTACAGAACACATAATAGGGAGTCTTTTCCACATAAAATAAATTGTGGGTAGAAATAGGGTCGCCGCATAAATCCGAATTTGGCTTTTTTTTTTTCTTTTTTTTTACAGGGATTAGCCCACCCGGGTTTAGGTCACTGACCCACATCGGGGCCTGGGGGTGAAAATTTTATAATAATAATAATTCAGATAAGTAAAAAATAAATAAATAAATAAATAAAATAAAATAATGATAGCAATACAAAAATAATAGTCATAAAGAACCATAAAGAAATACAAAAACGAAAAGAAAATCAAAAGTGAGAAACGATATATGTATGTTGTGTTGTCAATAGTAAGAGAAAAAAATTTAAACCTGCAATTGTGTGTAAATGTGCATAAAGTGAGGGTCCAATGTATGTTACAAAACTTGAGAGGAAAAATGCAGGAAATATATTGAAAAGAGATGAAAACTAAGCCAAGTTGAAATGACCTGTACTGTGCAGTACCAGTACTGTACTGACCACAAGAATGAAAACAAGGTACTTACAGTAACTAACACTCACTTGAAGACTCTTCCTGAGCACTTCAACCTTTTCTCCTTCTGCATCTACACGCCCCTTCCATGCCTTCTCTTATGCTTTCTCATGTGGCCTAAATAAAACTCAGTGTAGTAACTGAAAGTTATATTAAATATATGTGTATATACAGTTTATATGTGCATTGGCATTTGAGAAAAGTTGAGAACTGAATGTAATAACCAAGAAGGTTCCATGGGGTGAAACATTTCAACAGTTTCATATTTGACTATTAAATATCAAATCGTCAATAAAAGGTGTTAAGTTGTGTTACATCTAACATTACACTGTAGTCTTGTAGCAGTTATACCAAATGTAGAATAAGACATTGTTCACTGGCACCAGGCTGTTCCTTACTCTTATCTCCCTCATTTCTTCTCACTTCTGTCTAAATGTTTTTAAACCAAATGAAAAAGTTTAGGTCGGTGTTCATACAATAACTTGAATGTTGAATGTAGACAATGAGTAGGGTGGTGCTGGTGAGAGAGGTGAATGTGTTAGGTGTTGGCTGGTAGCGTGGCATGTGCGGCACACCTCAGTCTGCTTCACTCTTCCCTCCTCTGGTGACACCCGGTGATACTGTTCTCGTCTCAGTGTTTCACCACGGTCTGCCAGTCTCTCTCTATTATAACTAGACCAGTTTTCATGTGTTACTATTTTTGTAGTGCTTGTTAAACCATGACATTACAGTACTAGAATGTATAAAAATTAATTAATGCAACTTTTGTATTAGAAAATGCTGAATATTTGTAAGAAAATGAAAATACCATACCATATACTGTACAGTATATATATATATATACTGTATATATATATATATATATATATATATATATATATATATATATATATATATATATATATATATATATATATATATATATATATATATATATATATATATATATATATATATACTGTACAAACTATAAATTAATTGATTCATAACTAGCCCACTTAACTTAACCTAATTTAGGAATACAGTACATTTGTTTGGATTCTAAAGGACATCATAAATAAACTAAATAAAATTTTACCAATTACAAACAATTTTCACAAAGTTAACCCTGTTTAGTGTAACTGTATGACAAACCAAGTCAACACAGACAGACACAAGCACAAATGGATTCACACAAATGTACTTCTAGATGTATTTACACTTACACACACTGAACCATACCTGCACTTAAGTATAAATTGGAGAAAAACACTGATATACAAACAGATATAAGAACAACGTAACACAAGCAAACAACAATGTTCTCTCTCTCAAGAAATATGTGATTTTCTGGTAGAAGAAAGTCTCGTATGTATTTTGCACTCATCATTTTCTTCATGAGATTAATTTTCCACAGTTGCTCAGAGAGGCAGAGTATAGTGGCAGTGGATGTGAGCCAGAGCAACACCATCTGCCCATGGGACACCAGCACTGATGCCACTACCGCCAATATCTGCCCCTGGGAGACATCTGCTCCACCCACAACACGTGCTCAACAGCCCATGAAAACTCCAGAACAAAGGTTGGGACATCCAAAGGCGCGGCCAGATCGCTCTAAATCAGTTGACGTAAGTTCCCTTGGCAAAAGACAGGGCTCAGTGTCTGTGGCACCCAACCTAGTTCCAATACTCACTGAGGGCCACCCCACTGCCTCCATCTGTCCTTGGGAATCTCAAGAACTGCCAAATCGCCCTACTGAAAAGTCAAAATCCATTGATGTAGATGTGTGCCCGTGGGAGACCAATGAACCAGCCAAAAAATCTTCAACAAGCTCGGCTCCAGGTGTGATGGCAAGCGACATGGCGAGCATCCAGTCAGCATCAATGTCTTTTCAAGTGCACCAAGAGTATGCTGATATGACCGTAAAAGCTGCCACAAGCACGGGGGGATCTTTAATTTCAAGAGAAAGGGGAAGTAGAGATGGTATACGGCCACCTTGTGAAAGAAAAATATCTATCCAAGTTTGTCCTTGGGAAGAAGTGGTAGAAGAGGAAGTCCAAGGAATAGAGACACTAAGTACAAGCATAATCAGTGAAAAGCCACAGACCAGACAGCCAAGTCAGGAAAGTGAGAGCAGGTCAGAACATGCTACCAAGTCCAGAGAAAAATATCAAAGTATGAGTATGACATCCAGCTTTAGTGAAAGTTACACCAAACCGGATGGTCTGGCGATGCAGGCAGCCCTGGAACCTCGCCCAGGGGTTAGCAGTGAGGGAACTTCATCACCATCATCAACTTGTTCGTCATCCAGTCACAGTGACTCTCGCCGCATCAAGATTGACTACACAGTGAGGTCAGGTCACATGCCAGGTCAGTACGGTCTGCCCATCATGAGCTCAGCAACTAGCGCGACCCCTTCGGGCCAGCAGGCTCAGCATGGGCATGTAAGCACCACCCTCAGCAGCGGGAACACCAGCACCACCAGTAGCAGCAGCAGCAGCACCGGTGGTCACCACCACACCACCAAACGGGCTGAATCCCCCCGGGGTACAGACAAACTCCTTTGTCCTACAGAAGGGGGGAGTAAACCCACTTCTCCCAAAGTGGCAACCAACGTAGTAGCACCTTGGGAGGAGAATCCCCCGCAGAAGATGACAGACATCTGCCCATGGGAGGATGAGTAAGTCACAGCAATACATGTTTATTACTGGCTGTTATGTTGATGCTCTTTGATAACAAACATTGCAACTTTCTGAGGTAAGATCACATAATAACCAATGTCACTTTATTCCATTTAAAGCAACAACCAGTTCAGAAACTCGTGCAAATTTCGAATATCATGTCTAACACTTAAAGTAATACATAAGTTATCCTTAGTATTTATACAGTAAGATAGACAGCATATAGTTTTTTTTTATTGGAATATCAGTGTAGCATGTAAATGTATCCGGTATGCCTCATACACAGTGGTTATTCATACTAATCCCGGAGCAGTTCATTGCTGGTTCAGATTTTTCATAAGATATTTGTGTAATGGAGACTGATAATGTTCTCACTGCTATGACTAAAAATAGTTGATTGAGATTCCCTTGACAAACAGTTGAGATAAATTAGTCAAACAACACCTACAGTCAAACAGGTAACACACTTGCATCTTAGCATATAACAGTTGTATCTAGACTCTGCCTTAATACAACTGGGTGTACAGGTTATGTATATAGTAACACTTGCTAGGAATTAACGTCTTCACCAACTAATATGCATGAATTTTATTCTTCATCGTATTGCTGGAATTTTCTTTACTATAATCTCAGGGGTAGTTTGATGTTATGTTTCAATTCATTAGATATTTGAGCGAGAGCAGCAGAGATGAAAATTCCAGCTGGCTGTAGAGGTGTGTGAGTGGTGGGCCTCATCTCCCTCCCCACCCACCCCACTCTGCACACTCCCTCACCCCCGCTTCGTAGAGTTGCTTCTTTCTCATGATGCATGGATCAACTTTTTGGTGGGAGATAAGTTCACCAGTGATGACAATGGAGTTAAATATTTTCTCCAAATTTTCATACATACTACAGTTGTCTGTTAAGCCAAAAAGTGCCCCAACTCTTTTCAAAGTGTAGCACATGGCATAATCTTAGATAATTTTTCACAGCCACGTATTGCAAGCCGTTGGACGATTCTGCGTGTACCAATTATTTCTACAGTGAGCACCATGTACAGAGCCAAGTTTGTTGTGAGCAAATATACAAGTAGCTTTATGTTGACTCACTATTCTAATATAGTTCAATTTTTAACTGATGAGGCATTGTTTCAAAAAGTAGTAATGAAGTACGTACAGAACAGTATTAATTTTGTTATACTTTTTATTATACGTATTACAATCCCTGAAACATATCCTTCAGAGTGTTTGAAGCACTGTACAGTACTGTATACAGTACACAGTTCCTATCCTTTAGTGATACATGTATTGCTTTAGCATGTATGGAATGCTTGGTGCAAATCCAACCCTCAGTTAAATATCCTTGAGTGTATCAGGTGCACCTCTTATGATGTTCACTCCTCAAACAATATATCCTTGGATGTTGTCGAGGCCTCATAAGATTCTCTCCCCTCTAGGAATATCCTGTCTGCAGCTAGGAATGCCTTATGCAGTTTTCAGTTCCAGATAATTATACAATATGCCAGTCACTGTTGGAAAATATTCAATAACTTCCCCAAACTTTTTTTAATATGCTAACGGTCCATTAATATCAGTTAAAAATACTAAGCTTTTGGATTGACTTTTGCATTTCACCTTTAATGTGACTTACAGTTATGTTTGTAAGAACATATTTTATTTTGCTCAATGGACAGATATGATACTTTTTCATATTTCATCTGTGATTCAAATGGATTAGCTGATGCAACATAGTTATTCTATCAACTCACAGTAATCCCTGAATGTGATTTGCAAGATATATGTGATTTAGGTTATATTCTAGTTAGCAGTCCTTTCTTTTGATTAAGTGTGTGGTGGTCGAGTGCATACAGCGCTCGCCTCCTGTTCCGGGGGTCGTTGTTTTGATTCCCGGGTGCTATCAGTTCACCCGGCTGTAAATGGGTACTTAAGTTTATAACTTAGGGAAGTGAAGGCGGTTGAGTGCAGTACCAGCCTTGCTTCTTCGTTGTGTACCAAAGGCTTAGTATACAGTAGGCTGTATCCACGCTGTCTCTAACGGGCAGACATAAAAATCCTTTTCAAGTTCCCTAAGTTAATCACTCCCCCCAGGTCTATACGCACATTTATGTTCTTGGTGTTGTTTCTGAACTTTTTATTTAATGTAGCATGTTTACAAGAGAGTTCAAATTTGCAGGTCATTTTACCAGTGCGGCTTGTTGTGTTGACAGTCACAGCATTGTTCCACTATAATTTATGTAGTCAACAGTCACATTGTTACTTAATTTGAATAATGTAATATCTTCTTAACAGTCCTTCATGCATTTACTTGCTATTAAGATACAGTTGTGAAAAAAAATTAATGTATTAGTTGTATTTTGTTTGGTAAAAAACAACATAATCTACACCCCACAGTGTTAACCTTCATGACACTGTGTAGAGACAGCTAAACATAATAAAGTACCAGTATCAGTGGATGAAGTAGAATCACTCATTATTTATAGGATGAAAACATTAATATCTACATAAGTTACTCCTTTTAGTCCTGCGATGCTTTTGAGTAAGTGAGCAGAGATGGGCATTTTCATACACAGATTCAGATCCCAAGTTACTGACTGCTTAATAAATATTAATATTTGGAGATGCAAATACAGTATTGTAGTCTCGGGTTACCTCGCAGATTTTTAATGAGAATTTTTTAGTTAGCACCTACCTTAATTACTAAAATTGTCCTGTATACATGTATTGCAATAATTTTTCTATTTTACGAGAAAAGCAAAGCCGGAAGCATTAGCAGCCACCGTGTTGATACATCTACCGTGCATGCAAACTTCCCCAGCTGCACCCATGATGTCACTCAGCCAGTGCTCACTCTAAGGAAAGACTTTTATAAGATCTATAAGACACTTCTTGTTATTCCTCTAATTCATCTTGTGTTTACAACATCCACCACTTACCAAGATGTCTAAATGCTCAGCAGTTGTTTCTCCTTCCAGTTCAAGTGAGAAGAGAGGTATTTACTTTAGAAGATAAAGTTAAGATTTTAGGCGAATTTGACCATCAAGTGTATCAGTTGTGATGCGTTCAAATGGGGTCAATACAAATGTAATTCGCAGCCTAAGACTGAAAGGTAACAAAATTCGTGCAGCATGTGCACAGCCATCCATATCCAAAACCTTCTAGCATTTAAAGTCATAACTGTGCCAAAGATGGAGGATGCTGTGAAGATTTGGATAGTGAGCATGCAATGATGTAAAGCTACACCGAGTGGTCTAATGATTCAGGCAAAGATAATGGAAATTCAAGCTTGGCATCTCAAAAGAGATGGTAAGTCAGCTAGTGAATGTAAATTCACAACAAGCCTAGGCTGGCTTCACAGCTTGTTGCCACTCAATTTCAAAGAATTTTGAATTTTATGGTTGTAATTAATAGTTTAGACGATTCGAAGAAACTTTTCTTCTATGACGTTTCCCTCGCAAACATCTTATATAAGCCGGGGTCCAGGGGGATGGAGCCCCTCAGTTAAGAGGTTGGGTTAGGTCATTTGTGAGAGAAACGACATAGAAGAAAATTGTCTTAGAATTGTCTAAACTAATGATTGCAACCATAAAATTCTCAAAATTCGTAGGGTGGCAATAAGTGAAATTTTACCATACTTTCTTAACTCATGAAAAGTCCACAAAAATGTGAGGAAATACATATAGAGTATCACAAGTGATCGCGAGCCCTTCCTGCCCGGTGAAAGTTTGAACGCTCGTGCTTGGCTAGCATATAGCAAATGAGGGTGCGCCAAGTCCGTAGACATTTTATGGGGTAAGAATACTTGTAACTTTATAGACAAATTTCTTTTAGTTGTTAGTTAACATACACAATCGTCATGTAGTATTACCGCCGAATCTGTGGAAAGCTTTAGGGTGGTTATTGGCAGCAGGCTGTGATGTATTGTGTTATTGTCTTTTAATTTTGAAATTTCTTCAGCTTTGTACAGTTCTCTTTACTTTTCCATGGTGCGCCAAGTCCGTAGACTTGCATTGTTTTCCAGCGTAAATAAAATGGTTAATTAATGCCTTCGTAAAGAAACCATCGACATGGGACCAGGTTTGTTCCAATCTACGAATTTTTTGCGATTTTTCCACCAAGTTTGATGAAAAACCGATTGTGCCGTTTCGGCTGCCCAGAACAGACACACACACGGCTATTCCTATAGTATATTAGATTAGATAATATTATTTTTACAACTGTTTTTGTCCCGAACATAAACACAGTGGATATGATGTGAAAGTTCCAATGTTTACATCCAGGACATTTCGTTTCATCCTTGGAAAATTTGGTAAAAACGAAATTATGAAACACTTATACCTTTTAATTTTGGAGGCTTTTTATGAGGTAAGAATACTTGTAACTTTATAGACAAATTTCTCTTAGTTGTTAGTTAACATACACAATCGTCATATAGTATTACCGCCGAATCTGTGGAAAGCTATAGGGTGGTTATTGGCAGCAGGCTGTGATGTATTGTGTTATTGTCTTGTAATTTTGAAATTTCTTCAGCTTTGTACAGTTCTCTTTACTTTTTCATGGTGTATGAGAACACTATACATTTCTTGCTTGTGTTTAATGAGTAAATCATGGGTGGATTCGGGAATATCAAAAAGGGGGTCCAAGAAGTTGTGTGGGTGCGGGAACATGGTGAACACAGCAAGCCCACCCAGCAGGGGTTTGGGAGGGGGGCACTGTAAGCCTCCCGATTTTTTTTTTAATATGACCAATGTCATGGGCATTTTGAAGCCATGTGTACTTGATATTAGGAGATATTCTGAGGTAAATAGTAATTACTTTTTAGTACAGGGGCCCTCATTATACAGGGTAAGTGTCTTCATTTAAGTGGTTTCGCACTTAAGTGGTCGAACACTTGTGGACCTCCACATAAAAAGTCCCCGCAGTTAAGAGGATTCTAAGGCTGAAATCCGCCAATCTTTGGGAGCACAAGTGTTTGAGCGATTGAAATTCCCACCCCCCCCACT